TAAGCTAAATACTGAGCCGCTAATAGAAAGTCAACAGTTGAAACGCACCTGTGGGAGAAAGATGTGGCCGTCTACTCCCATATTTACATTCTTGGAAACCCTACGGGGCGGTTCTACTTCATGCTACAGGAACATTATGAGATGTAATTGGTATGGTGGTAACCAATATATGCCCAAGCACTCTTCAAGGCCAAGGAAAATACATCACTGAACAAGATACATGAGAATCTCTGTGTTTCTGGAACAAATATACTGGAGTTGGGAGTCATACAAACATAATCTTGTACTAGAAGGCAATACAGACTGTGAAAGAAGCAGAGTGGATGTGCCACATCAGTATGGGGGGGATGTGATTTGCACTAAAGAAAAGTGGAGATCTTACAGAGATGGTGACATCTGAACAAAGTCTGAATATAAACAAGGGGAAAACCATATAAACTTTTGAGCAAAGTCTGAATGAAAATGAGGGACAAAACCATGTAGCTATCTGGGGGAAAATTTTCTATTAAGAAAGAAAAGTTAAAAACAACTCCAAGATAACATTTCATCCCAGTAAGAATAGCAAAATTTATCAGAACAGCAGACACCAAATGCTGGTGAGGTTGTGGAGAAACTGGAACCCTTATTCACTATTGATGGGAGTATAAAATGGTGCAACCACTGTGGAAGGCTGTATGGCACTTTCTCAAAAAGTTGCAAATAGAAATACCATTTGACCCCACAATTCCACTATTGGGAATATTCCCTCAAGAAACCGTAACTGTCATCCAAGTAGATATATGCACACCCATGTTTATCGTAGCTTTGTTTACAATAACAAAGAGCTGGAAACAACCCAAGTGCCCATCAACAAACAAATGGATAGAGAAGCTCTGGTATAGTCACACAATGAAATACTATGCTGCATTGAAAAACAAGGATCTCATGACATATACAAAATAGGTGACCCTGGTGGACATTATGCTGAGTGAAATGTCTCAGTCACAAAAGGACAAATATTGCATAGGGCCACTGTTGTAAAACGGGACTGACATCAGGGTTGAGAGAAGACAGAAAAGGAGGGGAGAAATGATGTATACTGCATTGAAATAGATGAGGGAGAGAACTATTTAAAAGGGACATATGAACTGGGATTCTTGTCATTTCAGAAGTCCAGACTGAAGGCTACATAGTGGAGTGAACTTGGGGGGAAGGATCGTATAACAATGAAAGAGTTTTTCTTTTTCTTTTCAAGGAGAAGAGTGATGGGGGGTGGGCAGGGAGAAAAGTGCAACAATGAATGACTGGAAACCCTAAGTCTCTGTATGCTTTTATTAAAATTAATAAATAATAATAATAAAAGAGAATAGTAAGTCTTTTCTCCTCCAATGTCTTGAAAAGAAGGGAGCATGGTTGACAAGTTCAGGCCCAAGTAAGGCAGGCAAGATGGCTGGAACAGAGTGGGCAGAGGGTAGAAAAATAAGAGGACCTATAATAAATAAGGGCTAGGGAAGTGGGAAGGGTATATGGTGATCCTGGGATATTATGAAATGATGCCAGTTTTGTTTTTCTTTGGGAGAGCTAAGGAGCTACTGGAGAATTTTGAATAGAAGAGCATCATTATATTTACCTTTAGAAGAATTACTTTGACTTCTGTGTTGAGAATAGACAGTGTTGAAGGGAGTTAGAATTTATTGCAATAACCCAGATGAAAGATAAATACAACCTACAACAGGGTGGTTCAGAAGCAAGAGTGGTAAAGGAACAACTGGATTGGAGTTAGGTTTTGGGATGCCAGAAACTAGTACCAATGCTCATTTGGAATCGAGAGTGTGCTCTTACTGTCCTCTATCTGACCTCCATGTAACAGCTCCACCTATTCCCTTATAATGCATGTGGGCTGATGCCAAGAGCCACTGGAGTATCAGGGCACCAAGAGGGCAACTATGTAGACACTCTGATCATCACTACCTTCAACTCCGGTTCTATCAGCTGAACTGTATGCTTAGCAAGAATTGGTGGCTTTCTTCCAAAATTCTATTTCATCCGTACTTTTGTAAGCATGGAGCTCAGGTGGTATAGTCTGTAGGGAAAGGCTTGGTCTCTCTGGAGGGTCAAATCCACCAATGGCTCCATGAGACAAAGACTGGCAATCTCCTGTGAGATTTACAGGCTCTGAGAATCCACTGAAAGGTCAGCTATGGGTTGGTTCTGACTGAAAGGCAATGAGTTTGCATTTCTGAGGGGAGTTTTGGGGAAGGTAAAGTGCTTAATTATATATAATGTCGAATAATGGAACATGAAGGGTATTTTTTGGGGGGTGGGGGAAGGAGTTGGAAGGGAATTTTTGGTAAGGGTAAATTTTTTTTTTAATGGAGATATTCAAAGTGTTTATACTGTCAGTTCGCTTTGCAAATGTTTGAAAGTATGTCTTCCAGTTTAAAGAAAAAAACTAGATATCAAACTCATTGTCTGATTTGATACAACAGTGCAAGCCCTCTATCAGCAGATACCTTGAAACCTCAGCTTTCCAACAAGATTGACAGGGAATGTATACATTAGATATTCACAAGACAATTGCATCATTTTTGTTTCCCAGTTTATCTACTTTTTATTTTTCAATTAACAAATTAGCTGTTCAGATTACACTGACGATAACTATTTTCATAGCACTTTGTTACTTATTTGCATCCTTTAAAATGTTCATACTGAAAACCAATACTTTTTTTAGAATCATATTCCATTTTTCCATTCTGGCACTTGTGAAGAAACAAGGCTAGTCTCTGTGTTTTCATTTGTTTTGTCAAGAATGTCACCTGTCTTAAAATTAACCTCTAAAAGTAGATTGTACATGAAGGCAATACACAGCTTGAGATTCCACAGTGAATCATAGAACACAATACAGACTTTAAATCAGAACCACATCAATAAATTATTAAATCTGCTGCATGCACCAAAATACTACTGAAGAGTTAACCAGTGTCATTCCTTTGGTATGGAATAGAGGATGTTGCAGAATATCTTTTGGCCCCCAGAGGGCGCAGGACAGAGAGAAATCAGAAGAGTCATCCCTCCAGTCTTAAAAATGCAGTTCATGTGCTCCTTAGAGTCAAGAATGGTGAGACTGTCTCATGTTGGACAGGCGCTGGTCCTTGGGAAAGTGAAGAGTCACCAAAGGAGAGGAAGAACTTCAACAAGGGAGACTGACACAGTGACTCCAACACTGCACATAAGCACAGCTTAGAATGATGGAGGCTCAGGCAAGGTTTTCATGTTTTACAGAAAGCACTATGATTTGGAGTTGACTCTAACACCTAATAAATGCATCACCTGAAAACCAATGGAGTAGATGCACCCTGCACACATGGGTTGTCCTGAGTGGGAAAGGATTTTATGGCAAGCAATAAGATAGGCCAGGGTTCAGATCTGTTGTTCAAAGGGTTGCTATGAATCGTATACTCAACTTGACAGCACTTAACAACTGTACTACCAGGAGCTGTTAAGAATAGAAAAAGTCTGATTCTTTTCCTATTCTATTCAGGTCCCCCATGTAGTCACTAACGTTCTAGTGGTACTTTGGTTGGTGGTTTAAGGTTGGTGGTAAGAACCCATCAGCCACACTCTGAGAAAGGTGAGCCAGTCTGCTCCCATAAAGATTTTGTTAGGTGCCATTGAGTCACATTCAACTCATAGTGACTCATTTAATTCTTCACAACTGAATGAACATTCAGTTCATGCCTGGTCCTTCATCATCCTTACAATCACTGCTATATTTGATCCCACTGTCAAGACCACTATGTCTAACCACCTCACTGAGGGTCTTCCTCTTCTCTGAGGACCCACTACCTTCTCAGGTACCTACCTCCACTAGGAAATGACCCCACTGTTCTCGAAAATTACTGAGAACCAACTCAAAAGCAGTGATTATGTATCAAGTGGGTAGAGCAAATGGTTAATTCACTCACTTCACAAAAAGGTTGGCAATTTAAAGTCACTTTTTAAGCACCTTTTGGAAGCAGGAGTGGCATCCATTTCCTAAACAACATGCCTCCAGAAACTCTATGAACTCATAAATGTTAGTAGTTGTAGAGGGGCTTCAGGCCTTTTGTTCATAGGGTTGCTATGAGTCGTGCTTGACCCGAAGACAATCAACAACAAAAAACCTTAGAAGAATCTGGGATTCTACTTCTACTTCCAGAACTCAACTTTATGGAGCACATGAGGTTGCCATCAATCACAATCTAATCAAAGATATGTTTTGTGTCCATTCAGTATAGGATGCTAGTAGACAGGTTTTGCAAATTTTAAGACTACGTGGTTTGGGTTGTTTATTTTAATGACAGGTAGTAAATATGCAAAAACTGCAGAACACTCTGCTCCACACATTCTGTATCATCTCTAGGAGTGCAAGGAGGGTACGAATGTGGTACCCAAAATGTTCCAGGCTTTGATTCGTAAGTACAAACTCACTGCTACTGAGTCAATTCCAACTCAGAGTGACATAAGATTTCCAAGATGGGAAAATCGTGCTAGGAAACTATCATCATTCTCCTTTGGAGCTGCCAGTAGATTCTAGAAACACTAGACTCAGTTTTAAATCAGGAAACATAACACTGTTGAAAAGATAGGAACTCGGCTACATTGTGCAAATTCACAGTTCTTAATACGGTGCCACAGGCTAAAACTGATAATTTCTTTCAGGACAGGATATAAAACCCAAACCCTAAAAAAATCCCATTCTTCCTAATTCTTCAGCAACATTCCAAATTATAATGGAATGTTTAGAGTAGTTCCATTAAATGAGTAGATTTTTTTATATATATTTTACTGAACTGTTTCAATTAAGACTGATAACACTGAGACTTGTATGCATGAACTTTATTCCTGTATGAAATCTCATTCTTTTGTTGAGATTAAGATTATTCTACACTTACTAGGGAAATACTCCACAAAAGCGGACGAGAAAGATATATCTTTTCACAGTTTGGTTTAAAGGTGCACTGCGGTCAGACTTCATGTACTTGTATCTGCAGGTACAAGGTACTGGAAGAGGAGGCTCAGGAATGCGTCCAGCCGTTTCTTTGATCTGTATGCAATTAGTCCTCCCTTGTTGGCCCACCTATCGACACCAGAAGCGCCTGTGTTTGCCACGTGGTACACCAACTGGGGCAAATCAACCTCCTTTTCTGGCTCTCTTTCTAGACATGCCTTTAGATCTACCATTCCCCCACCCATAGACCGCAGTATGGCGTGAGCAGCACAAGAGTCCCACTTGAACGTGGTATCTTCTGAAAAGATGTAAATGTCTACAAGGCCTTGCACAACACAAAGGCTCTTGTAACCAGCTCCAGCTGCTCGAAATATTCGCTCTCCACACACACGTAACAACGCGGCTTTGATAGTCTCTTTTTCGCTTGTACTAATGACAGCTGAGAAACCTTGGGATTTGGCTTCAGTGCTTGTGTTTTCGGTTAGTTGGCTCGGAGTTTCTCTGTTTTCACTTTTAGGAATGAGATACTGAAGGGAATAGGCATTGGTGCCCAAGTAAGAAATGCCCCAGTAGCACTGTCCTTTCCACCTGTGGAAGAGTAATTTTAATTTGAAGGTTATCACATTTGTATATAAATTACAAATTTATCATTCATTACAATGAGTCTTAGGCTTAGAACTGGATATCAAGGAGCCAATTAAATGCTTATTATGCAGGCAGTTGCCTGTGTTGTTACAGACTAAAAATGCTTTCAAAGTGACGTCATCGCATCAGTCGAGAACACGAAGTATCTGTGAGTTTTGGAGTCTCCAGTAACACTGAAAACTTTTGGTATTTAAAGTTTTACAGGGGAAAAAAAAAGATGAACAACTAATAAAAATAATGTTATCTTTTAGGTCTTTTATCATTCCTTTAAGTTTTTCTTTATTTGGAACCAATTTCTTATACACTAGTTTCATGTTGATGTTGAAGAAAGAGGGACGTGTAATTATTTTCAACCCCAAAAGCATATAGTTTTTGTCAATCCTTAATAATAAACTCTGTTGGCCCCGTGGTAAGAAGCCAAGCTGCAATCCTGAAGACGCACAGTTTGAATCCACCAGCTGCCTCACAGGAAAAAGATGGGCAATCTCCTCCCATTCAATTATTGCCTCTGAAAACCCACCAGAAAGTCAACTATGGGTCGGTTCTGACACCAACTATATGGATGCTGGATAATACTCCCTTTACAGGAAGGTAACTGAGGCTTCTTGCTCTTGTTACGTGCCACCTCATAGATGACCCTCTAGTGGGTTTTCAGAGGCTGTGAATCACACAGGAGGAGACAGCCCATTTTCTAGCACAGACCAGCTGGTGGATTCGAGCTGTCTTCCTTTCGGTTGGCAGCACAACTCTTTTATCACTAGGCCACCAGAGTACCCTTATTGATGGTTTTTAAAAGGTCAATTACTTGCTTAAGATTACCCTAGGTAGCTGAACCTAGATTCAAACCAGGCAGCCTGACTCCAGGATCTCAGCCACTATCTACTTTGTCAACCATCCACATTTCTAGGTCTCAATTTTTTCTGGTTTTTTAATAAGCTTTCAAAGCTGGTAAGCATATATTTTTGGCTTGGAATGAAAGAATAATAACGGGAAGGTGGAGTGGAGAGAGGAGAAATCAATGTTCCAAAGTACAGTTTGTGACTAGAAGAGAGCAAACAATTCTTAGCCACCTAAAACGCCTGAAAGTTCAATAAAAATATACAGTCCTACACAGAAGGTACAATGAGACCTATTTCAATAGAAATCAAAACCACAGGAGGAAAGCTGCTTGCTTCCACTCTGCCTCGCCGTGGCGCTAGCCCCAAAGCGCAAGCCAGGGATCAGAGGTCCTAGCTGTTCTCTGTTCTGTGCAGAATCTCATGGGAAGTGATGGGCAAAGGAGTCAGAAAAGGAAGTGATGTTCACAGCATTATACCAAGAGATAATTCAAAGCTAGATTATAATCCTGGCCATATCTACTCATCTTTTCCATTGGATAGTTTCCACATTTTTTTTTAAATTTTTAATTTATTTATTTTTTTCAAATTGTACAAAGGTTCTACTAGCTACAAAGTAATGGTATTTATCTTGGTGCATATGTTTTGGAAGACAATGTACCACTCTATTAATCTGGTTTTGAACAGATTCTAGAAAACACAAAAGGCTTGCTATATCCTTAATGCAAAGCCATGATTTCTCCAAGGCAGCACTTCCTTCAAAAGTTTTTTCCACATGTACCTGATCCCAAATAAAATCATCCCAAACCCAGAAAACAAACAGAAGGAAATTTAAATCAAACATGCAAATTATCATTAGGAAACTCATGTATCAAGTTAAATGAATGTCATATAGAATGTCAAGTTAAATGAATGTCATATATGTCATATAATCCTGACAATATAAACAAGCCAGAGGCCCCAAGTTCCAAAAACCTTAAAATGACAAAATGATCATCATTTACCTGAGAGTGTCTGGGTCCTGTGACACAAATGGTTGATTAATGACTCCCATCAGGGGTATCCCTGTCTGTCTGTCGTAGACACCAATTAAAATGGTAACACACTGAAGTCCGGAGGGGAAAATTCCGTGGTCGGGTTTGATATCACCAGAGCCTTTTATATACTGATAAGTTGAATCTAAGAAACAAAGCCAAGTTTTTCAGATTCAGGGAAAGAGTATATATTCCTATAAACTCTGGCCTGCATAGTTTCTCAAGGAGCCTAGTGGTTAACATGCTTGGCTGCTAACTGGAGGGCGGGAGGTTTGAAGTTAGGCAGTGCTAGTCAGGAGAAAGGTGTGGAGTTCTTCCACAAAGATTTACAACCTTGAGACCCGATGAGGCAGCTGTCTCTGTCCCACAGGGTCTCTATCAGTGGGCAGACTCAGCAGCAGTGGGTTTGGTTTTGATTTATCATTTCTCTGCCAATGTGGTAACCTTTTAATCACTATCGTTTTCGTGTACTGTTTTATTTGGCCTCCTACACTTCACTTTTAAACTGAATGTGTTTTATTGTCCCAATTGAATGGGAACCTTTGAAGATGGAGATTGTGCCTATGGCAGTGGCATTAGCACACTGCACAGAATGTTGCTTTGTGAACCAGAGTCACAACCTACACATAACTGACCCTCTGGTGGGTTTTAAGAGAGTAATCACACAGGAGGAGAGTGCCCATCCTTCTCCCACAAAGCAGCTTGTGGCCTTGAACTGCATGCCTTTGGGATTGCAGCACACCTTCCTTCCACTAGGCTAACAGCATACAAATACTCCTAACATGTCAAAAGCACTTAAAAGCTGCTGAGGATAAATGATGAGATTCTTCAGAATTGCTATAATTAGAGGATTAGCCTCCTTTCCAGAATATGTCTGAGGTGGAATTACTCTGTGGTTTGTCTTGGTATCTCAAGCTAGAAAGAACACTGATGACACAAAAACAAAAACTAACTTCTATCAAACTGAGTTGTTAAAGCTTATAGCAGCCCTTCCTTTGGGTCTAAAGGGAGTGACAGACTCTTTTCCTCAATGAGCAGCTAGTGAATTTGGACTGCAAATATTTCAGTTAGGGACCCAACGTGGAATGCATGGCACCACCAGGCCTACAAATTAATGCTGCTCCTCCAATAAAGAGCAGCTGACAAGTTGGGTTTACCCTTAAGGTGGATCCATGGAAACAGCTGTCTGCCATCATCAGTGAGTCAACAGAGTTAAGGATATACAGGTTTAAAGGCCAACAACTGGTGAAATGACTCAGGGTAGAACTAAGAGTCAAGGGACCTCTGTCCCTCCTCAGACATCATAATTGCTTTATCCTAGACGATTTGGGGAACTGGTCTAACTTTCCATATACAATCTATTGACTGAGCAATATACAGTTCTCTAGAGTGACTACATATTTTTGCAATATTATCTTTATATGCTTGTAAAATGGGAACAGTAGGTCCTTTATTTTGCCTGCTTAGCATAATGCATGGTCCCAGTTGTGTTGAGTAAAATATGCCAAAGAGGAAAAGAAGATAATCTCTTCAAATTAATACCTAGGGCTTTGTGTTAACAAAAGCATTAAGTAAGGACTATACTTTTAAAACGATGCGTTATGGGCTAAGATTCTACTATGACAATGATGACAGAACAGGGGTGAGGTTTAAACAGAGCTCATAAACCCTCTGCTCAGGAGTCACATTTAGCTGATGGTTAAAATTTGGGATATTTCACGGAAAAACTTGGATTTATGTTTCTCTTTAAAAATCTGAATTATCTGACCTGCAGCCCACGCGGCAAAAATCTGCTGGAGCTGGGAGCTATTCAGTGGGCAAGGTTGCTAAAGTGGCCACAGCGGCATCCTGCTCACAGCTGCTCACCAATGCAGCCCTTCAAGGCGTTTGAATCTGAATCCCTTGTGTTAAGTTTTTCAAAGAGGAGTTAATGTAGCTTTATGTATCTTCATGTGTATGTACCAAGTATACAAGTGCATAGACACATACACACATACATGCTACATATATACATGTTATAAATATATCAGAACACTTTTCCTTTAATTCCATCATTTTAACAAATTTTTTCAAAAAGATAATTAAACTACAGCCAATTTTTCTTTTTCTAAGCATTAAAAAAGAAAATATTCTCTCCTACACTTACCTATAGGATCCACCCATATTCCCAAAGTGTCCTGTGGAATGCTGATGTCTACTGAATCCAGAGCGGGGTCAGTAAAGGAGACATCCTGATGAACAACACTGGCTAACGCTTCAGATGCCTGCTGGTTGCCATTGAGGACTTTACTAAGTAGCTCTACTGTTTCTGCCTCTGTTGAACACAGTCTCATGGTAATCTTTTCCCCTGGAGTAAAGACAAACTAAAAGCAATTACATTTCAAGAGTTTCCATGGAGAAAGAACAAGACAAAGACTGACGAGAATGGGGAGCAAATGGGGCATTGCTGTCATCATGTGCCAGGGAGTCAGAACTTACAGCTAACCCTCTGGCAGGCTTTTTGAGAATGTAAATCATATGAAAGGCGACTTCCCACCTTTTTTGCATGGATCAGCTGGTGGATTTGAACCAGAAGCCTGGGCACTTAGATTGGGTGAGGGAAATCTATTCACACCAGTGGTTCTAAGCTTGGCAGACAGGTAGCATCAACTTCATCAGGTAAAAAATGCCAGTGGTTACTTAAACACTTAATCCAAATAGTTAGAGATGGGGTTCAGGAATTCAAGGATTATCTCTCCAGGAAGCTATCCATATGGTCATAGGCACATAAATTTGTATCCAGTGTAAAGGAATTAACGGACTAGTTAAGAATCCCTTAACCCTTGATATTTACTCTGCCTTTTTTTTTTTTTTGGTATACAGTGAATGAATATTTTAATCTTGAATTTAAAAATAATGAGAAAAATATATAGCTATATTTAGAATAAAATTGCAATAACGTACAACTATGTATAGCTTTTGACATTAAACTTGTGACTTGATAGTTTTCTACTCAGCGATTCATACACATTACATTGCATTCCACTGGTTAAAGCCTCACACTGTAACGGCCATCTTTCTTCTTCCCCTTGGCCTCCCCCTTTCATGCATTTCTCTATACCATCCCTATCTACCCTCTGAGCTTTATCCCTGAAGAAAGGCTTCAGGTTTTCATACAGTTAAGTATTCTAAGGACCCCATTTCTCAGTGATGTGACTGATCACCTTATAGTTCTGTCTGGCTAGAAACTGAATCATGGGGGGTTGATTCCTGCTCCGTATCTGGTGACTGAGGGCTATTTTCTTGGGGGTTCCACCTGTCTCTAGCAGAGTACTAAGCCTGGTTCTTTTGTGATTTAGAAATTTGTTCCACATTTTCCTTCCACTCTATCAAGGACCTTCTACTATGATTCTTTTCAGAGAAATCAGCAATGGTAGCTGGAACCAACTATTTGTTCTGGTCTCAGGGTCATGGACACTGGAGTTTACATGGTCCATTAGTCCACTGGGCTAATAGTTTCACTTTCTTCACTCTTCTTTGCTCTAGGTGCAAAGAAATTAGTAATTGCAGCTTAGTTGTCCAATCACAAACTTAAGACTAATCAACACTCAATTAAAGCATGATACAGAACATTGTCCTTGTGGGCAATGTTATATCAATTGTTCTCAACAATGGTCCTGCACTCCCAAGCCCACCAACTCATTCACTTAAGGTGTTACAGCTAAGATGTTTTTGTAATTATTCCCGTTCACTCTACTATACACACAAATTTATTTACAGCACACACAGATCTGTATGTAGGTGCACTGTCTCCTAATCTATGATTGTAGATGGAGTCTCATTTACATACTTGTTCATCCTTTTAATATACTGTCATCTTACTTATATCTGAATAGATGAATGATTAGAAAGTCAGTCTTATCAGCACACTAACGGGCTTCTACTTCTTCCTCATCTGCTACTAAGTTATGCTCAGGAAAGTAATGCAAGTAGTTTGTTGTTAGCTCCTCGAGAGTTCACCCCTGAGTTAGGGTGAGTTCGTCAACAGAAGGCAGTATCGCCTAGCCCCCTGACTGACTGTACACTGGAACTCTGTAATCGAGAGGCGTCTTACTAGCTGGTTTCAGATAAATTGCCAGACCTTACTTCCTACCTTTAGTTTGGAGCCTCTGCTGAAATTTGAACAGTATACAAATAAGCCTTCTTGAGTGAAATACACTAAAAATCAGGTGCTTCTCTGTGATGGACTAAGCAGCTACTCTGAAGAAAACAAGTTACAAAATCCATGTGTTTTACCTATCATTTGAAAGCAAGGCTTCAAACTGGTTCATTCCAGTTCACCCTTTACTGAGATTTTACACTTCCACTGACTTAGCATACCTGCGGTACAAATTAAAATTCTCAGCTGGGCATCAAACCAGGATGAAATGCTTTAAACAGGCTTTCTTAAACCTTTAATTTGGTTTCCAAAGACCAAATGAAGTTAAAAATCTGAGAACAGATACATTAGTTGGAACCAAAACTATTAAAAATATCAAGGAAACATGGCACATTGGATTCCTCAGGTCTACAGATAAATGCTCATCATGTCTCGATTTTAAGAACTAACAGCATCCAGAGCTCATTAGAAATTCAGAAGCTCAGGCCCCACTCAGGATCAGTTTATTAAGATCTTCAGGTGATTCATATGCTCATTAAAGTTTGAGAAGTGTTACATACTGTCAAGTGGAAACAGACTCCTAGTTGACCTTCCAGTGGACTTTCAGAGGCACATGGGAGGAGGCTGCCCATCTTTTACTGTGGAGCAGCTGGTGGATTCAAATTGTTTGTCTTTGGGTTGACAGCACAATTCCTCACCACTAGGCAACCAGAGTTCCCTTAAGAAGTATATGGCTGTGTGCCACTGAGTCTGAACCAGCCCCTCTCTGAGCTTCCTGCAGGTTTTCAGGGGCAGGAGACTGCCTACCCTTCTCCCCCAGCACATGGTGGCTTAGAACTGCATGACTTGGAAATTGCGTAACAGCTTCTTAACACTAAGTTACCAGCGCTCCCTTGGGAAGTATGAACAATGACTCTGAACCTTGCCCTATCCTGAGCCAATTTCTCCATCTTTGCCACACTAGACCCCATTTCCACTGTCACTGTGTCAATCCATCTCATCCAGGGTCTTTCTCTCCTGCACTGACCCAATAATTACAGTAATGATGATTCTGAAGTAGCAAGAAACAGTCATTAGATTTAGTTAAATTCAAATGAAGTTAGACTATTAAAGTCAGGGACTATTAAAGCTAATAACAATGGCAGAGCATCTACTCCAGCTTCAATAAATCACACTGTTAAACGGTGCCAACGAGGTAGTTTTAACTCAACAGACTGGAACATTATGGGGTCTTCTGAGAGCCTCACAGTCAATGCTGTGCGTTAGCACCTTCTTGCACCCACCATCTCAATCTACCATGCTGAGCCTTGCTGGTTTTTTTCAGTGATCCTTTACAAGTATGATATTATTGTTCAAATGAAATAATATCCTCCCTGAGACTAAAATTCTCCAATGGATTCTCATTACACTAAAATGAATAACCAAGCTCCTTGTGCACACCTGGTGAGTCTCTGTGGCCTGGTCCTGTCTGTGTTCACTTTATCATCCACTCTCCAGGTCTCTCTCTACTCCCAAGAAGCTAAGCTTATTCCCTCCTTGGAAGTAAAGAGTTAAGTTTCAGCTCTCTCTCTATACATATACATATACATACACATATACATATACACATACACATACACACATACACATACATATACACGATACAGACTATTTCTGTCTCTGTATTGTTAGAGAAATGTATTAAACTATACAGTGGTCAAATGTAAGATTTTATCAATTATTCATAGCAGTTTTGTTTTTTATCTTTTAAACACAGCCCAAGGAGGAAACTTAGAATTGTTTTGTAACGAAGAAAGTGGGGAAACCCCCAAAACTCTTCATCAATATGCCTATGCTTAACTATTTCCCAAGTGATCAGTTTTTAAGGTTCACTAATTTTTTGCTACTAAATAAACACCAAGCAAGCTAAAAATACATTTTCCTAAAAGTAAGAGATAAAAATTATTAAAATATCTAATACTGCAAAAGAGCATGGAGGTCCACCTGAGGAGAGTCTGGCCCATAGAAAATAAATGCAGTAAGACTTAAAACTTTATGCTAAAAAGGAACCTTTTCGTTGTTTCAACTTCTTTTACTGAGACTCTAGACACAGATGTGACAATGTGATTTGCTCAAGATCACATGGTATTTCAGAGCCAAGGCCTCTGTACATGTTTAGCCAAAAGACTTTATCAATGAGTTTAAACGTTGAGACTAAAACTGTCTGCAGTTATGCAGATTTTTTCCCCTGGGGCATCCCTAACCTTCCATTAGATCCCTACAGGGACATGAAACATTCCCAAAGGTTAAGATATAAATTATTAAAGTGCTACATATTTATATCTTGAATAAATCCATGTGGATCTTCTCAATTATTCTAAAATATCAAATGTGTAACTTAAATGCATAGGTTCAATGAGGCTTAACATTCAAGTATGTTTACATTGAGAAATTAGAAAATATCTATGCTTTCACTGTGTAAATTGGAGATTAAAATACCACCTGATAATTCAATTATAAAACTACATTAAGATTTTTATACTTACCCAAATCATTAGTAAATTCATTGGATTCTTCTCCAGAAATTTTGTCCTTCAATCCTGGAAACTGATTTCGAGCATCATTTGGGGAGGGAGGGGGGTGTTGGGATGTAAAAAAGAAAAGTTCAATTCTAAAGATTTTCACTTTATATTTTAAAACTAAATAACATATTACTTGTAATTCAGAAATGTGGAATCCCTAAAACAGTTTACTGACCAAATAATTAATGCATCAGTATGAACAATTAGAATGAACAAATGGAGTCAAAAGAATCCTTTTCTCATCTTCATAATCGAAGTTTACATGTACATTTTGCATCTAATCTTCTCTTTACCCACTGCCTCTAGAACACACGAGAACTGGCCCACACCACTTCCAAGGCTGTGATATTTAAATAAGCTGACTGCCCCATCTTTCTCCCTGAGCAACTGGTAGGCTTGAACCATTCAACAAAAGGCCTGCAGTTGAAAGCTTAGCCAGTGCACCACCCACAGCTCTTTGACCTTCTCTCTAGGGAAGATAATTTTTCTTAAAAATACGCGCTAAACTATGACATGTATGATATTCTCAGGCAAAATAAACAAAAAACCAAAACAAAGAAAGGTTTCAAATGCTTGAATTCTATCATTCCTTGGTGACCAAGAGCTTTATAATGCTCATAGCCACTAGTTTTGAGGGTTTGTGGGTTTTCTTTTTTTCTTTCTGCTCGTTTGTAGAACAGTACAAATCAACAAGGGCTGGGAAATGAACCTACTCAAAGTATGAAGCTCAGTCTCCCCTGACTACTTAAAAATCGCTTCTGACGCTCCAGGCAATAAGGACCTTATGTAGACAAAACTGCTATTAAGAGTGGAGAAATTAATCACTCCCCTACCTGCTTTGCATATACCTCCTGACTGAACAAAGTGCCTGAACTTGTTACAATGCTTTGAGGCAAGTACTAGCTCATAAAAACTAATGTGGAGACATTTCTAGTCCAATTGCTCAACCCTTCCTGGCACTTAATCTTGATCAGGAACAAATAAAAAAATAAACTTGCTTTATTTAATTTGCTAGAGCCAGTTGTAGGAGATGAAAAAGTATGTTTGTAGAGATTTCAGGAGGGTCATCGATCTCCCCTCTTGCTTGTGGTCCACATTCTCCTGAAATCATTCGCAAATGACCTGGTTCTATTTTTTTAGAATTCCACAGAAACCACTGGAATGTTTTATAGCTCTTGGTCATTTTAGGAAGCCCCATCGTGGTGTGGTTCAGTATTAGGCTGTTAGCCAAAGGTCAACTGTTTGAATCCACTAGCTACTGGGGTAGGGAGGTGGGGATCAGGCTGCCTGCACCCATGAATTCAGAGTTACAGCTCTGGAAACACTCTGAGGCAGTTCTTCCCCTATGAGATCATTTTGAGTAGAAACTGAGCTATGTCATTTTATAACGTTTTATGTCACAAATTTTATCCTTTCCAAACCTCAAGTACATAATTATTATAAAGGCAAGACAACAATGCAAAGAGCACACACACTAGAGCCAGCACACTTGCATTCTAATGAGAGCCCTATCATTCACTTGCTGTGCAACTTTGGGCAAGTAACTCTTCTCATCTTATTAAATTTAAACCCTAGGCGAGTTCTGGTAGCCTAGTGGTAAGAAGATGCACTGCAATCCCAGAGGTGAGCAGTTCAAATCCACCAGATGCTTTGCTGGAGAAGGAAGAACAATTGCCTCCTGTACCAGTCAAATCTGATTTGATGGTACACACACATACACACACACACACACACACACACACACACACACACACACACATAATAATAAAAAAATTGAAATCCTAGCTCTGATCTCAAATTAATATTTATCTTATATCTATCTATCTATCTATCTATCTATCTATCTATCTATCTATCTATCTATCTATCTATCTCCAGAACACTGTTGGACACACAGTAAGTACTTGTTTGCTAGCATTATTATTATTGCTTATGAATAATTTCTTTCTCCTCAAGATACTTAGAGCCATAATCGCTTATGTTTTTCTACCAGAATAAAAGGGAACTCAAAGTCTCCAGAACTCTACAAGGCTGCAACCAAGGTAACCATTAGATAAATGCCTAATTAAAAATTGAGGCTTAATGAAAACAAGGGGGACAAACAGAACAAGCTGTAAAACTGTATGCTCTCATTTCTGAAATAAATTCAACGTCACACACACACACACACACACACACTGAAAGAAGACATTCTAACCAGAGTTTATATATAGCTAGGGTTTTCTCTAGTGGTGGGTTATGAGGTTTTTAATTTATTTTGGAGAGAATGTGTATTATTTCTTTTAAAAACTTCAGTAAATGGAAGGTCTATACCAAATTGTTTACTCAGAATTAGAATTGTGAATGATTTTAATTGCTGATTCAGAATTAGAACTGTGAATGATTTTTCTTATGTGCTTTTCTGTATTTTTCAATTCTTTTCTGCAATTGACATTTTATTAACAGCATACTCAAACAAGATGGGAGGGGTGAGGAACCAAGATATATCTTCTCATTCAGAGTGCTAGTATTCTGACTGGATGGAAAAAACCATGCTCTCCATCAAAACCACAGGGGCAAAGCTTTTGAAACTGCCTTGGCTGTGACCTTCCTTACCTTGTTCTCCATATTCTGTTTTATAACTTCCTGTACCAGTACATCAGCCAGGGTCTTGAAATCGACTGTGAACTTCTTGTTCTTTTCTCCTTCTTTCTTTTCTTCTATAAGCAGCTGGAAGAGAGCCTCCTGCTGCCTGCATGCCCGGGCGATGTTGGCAGCTTTCTCGGCCACGCAGAGCAGCTCTCGGAGGATATCGGACATTTCGGAACCTTGCTCCCAGCTGCAGCTGCTGGTGGAATTTGCACCCACCCTCTGGGCTGTCAGCTGGAAAAGTACAAGAATGTGAAAGAGAAAGTGATTCAGAGGGTGATATAGGTTGTCTCTGGGAGTCAACCTGGTTAGTTTGGCTCAATGACTAGCATATAGTAAATTCAGGCTGTCCTATGGAAGCAAGATTGTCACTATAACCTAATAGCTGAGGCTTATTTTTAAAAAAATATATTTTCCTTCTCTAAAGGTCCATTACACAAAGAATGGAATTCTTAGTAAATCATTGAACGAGAATCTAGATTTTATTTTTAACTCCCTAGACAGATAAGAAACACAGAGCATGCTGAATGAAAGCCAAACTCTTGGATGACCTCAGAGTTTAGTGGCAGTACTGACCCGGCGCCCTTCCTTTCACCACTAAGGGAGGAAGGGTGAAGACAGGGAAGAGATTTAGTTCATCAATTCAAAGGCCAGTTTCTCAAGTACTAAGCACCACAAGGGCAAGTACTGCTTCCTGCAAAAGACTGAAGCCACCCCTGGCCTGATCTTCACCCCATGCAGATCTTCCACAATTTTTTTGCCATGCGAAAAGAGCCTCCTACTTTTTTTTCCTGCTCGTTGGTATTAGAAAAGATTTGGCTTTTAAAAAAGTGTTATTCTACACACACCTGCAAATACTTAGTCTACCACAATAATAATTTATTAAGTTAATAATTTCATTTTTAAACAAGAACTACTATTTATTGAAAATTTTTTTTTAAAAATCTTCTCTCATGATTGTGAAAATTACTGTGGGTATTTACCCACTCTGTTTTACTGTCAAGGAAATTGAAGCTTAGAGAGGTTAAGTAATTTCATGAGGGTTACACAAGGCTGAACGGCGTGCTTGGAATTGGTTATACACAGATGGTGCCCCTTACTATCATAATAAACCTTCATTTAGTAAGCTCCTGAATGGAACTCTCAGAAGCTGTGGATTAAAACTATGAATACGTCAATAGAGTTAATTGTGAGTTGTCACAATTAATGAGTGTTAAATATGCTAAAAAATGTGTTGCATTCTTACTAATAATATGGGTCAACAAGCATGAGAACATACTGTCTAGCTGCAATAATAAAAATTAATAAAAAGATAGCATCTTTCATTATTAAATAGTAACACTGTTTTTAAAGTTCATCTTCATTCTTGGAGATGGTATGATGAAATGGGAATTTATGCTATCCAGCAACCACACAACCAAAGATGTTTCCACAGAGCAATGAGAAGAGACTGCCTCTCTTTCTCCTGCAGAGTCACTGGTGGATTCAGCCGAGAGATATGCAGCCTTTGGGTGATCAGTACGGCTCACTAACCCTAAACCTAAACCTAAACCTAACCCTGACTGGACCACGGACTCCCAAGAGTCAGATCAAGACCTAGGTGAGAGCAGCAGTGGACCATCAGAGGCATGAGGCAGAGATCAGCTGGGACTGCTGCCCAATGGAGCCAGAGGTGATACTGTATGATACCTTAACGGTATATGATGACCTAGCTTAAGCTTGCTGAAGGATTTGGAGTAGGAGAGATGCTCTAGTAGCCTAGAGCTAAGAAGCAATGCTGCAACCTCAAGGAAATGTGGTTCAAATCCACTATTGCTCCCTGGGAGAAGGATGGGCAATCTCCTCTCGTGTGATTTCCTGCCTCTGAAAAACCCACTGGAGGGTCAACTATGGACCAGTTTTGATTCAAAGGCACACAACAAGAGTTTGGAGCCATGGTCTAAATTCAAGAGGCCAAAGGGCAAAACGCTTGCAAACACACCTGCGCAGCTGTCCTGAAGAACTGTATCTTGCTCCCAATCTGAACTATAAACTGGTATCTTCTCTAGCATATGCCAAAAACTTTTTTTCCCTCACCTTTTTTCTTGTTGTATACCGTTGAATTGGATCTGAATGGCACAGAAGGAGATTGTCCCTCCTTCTCCAGCAGAGCATCTAGTGGATTCGAACCCTGCATCTTTGGGATTGCAGTGCAGCTTCTTGCCACTAGGCCACCAGAGCTCCCTTCTTTGTTTTGTGTACTGTCAAATTTGATCTGAGTGGCAGAGAAGGAGACTGCCCCACAGTCACCAGCAGAGCATCTGGTGGATTCAAACCATGTGCCTTCAGGATTAAAAAAACTTAAGTATCATCTGTGACTTGTGTTTGGTCATTGCAATAGAGAAGCACACCTAGAAGAATAGTGAGAGCCCAGATTGGGATAGCTGGTGTTAGAATTGAGGAAAAATCAGCTCCAACAGTATGGGAATGCTTCTGACCACATGTGAATCAGTTTTGTGTTCTGGGTGTGGACAGTTCCTCTTTGTGAAATCAGCAGAGGTCAGATGAGACTATCCTCACACAAGTATCATTTTTATAGTAGTTTTTGTAGAAGCACCATGTGTAGAAAAAAGAAAATCTGCATCAGAGTAAGTTTCTAGTCCAGTGAGAACAAAATACTTCCCTTTTTATGTTGGAAGTAGTCTAATGTAGTCTGCATTGTAGTTTACTGGCTGATCACCTCAAGAAACTGTTCCATTCTGGGACACAGTGCTGGTCTTTGCTGCTGGCAGACTGGACATTCAGCAGTGACTGTAGCAAAGTCAGTCTTGATGAGTTTAAGTCCATGTCGCTGAGCCTATGAATAACCTCCACACCTGCCACCATGACCAGTTTGTTCACAATCCCATTGGACAATGACAGAAGTGCTGCAAAAGAGGCTGACTGGTTTCTATAGAACATATTCCATCCACTTGATTGCTAAAGTCCGCCTCCACTGAGCATTCACGCAAGACAAACATCTTCACTTCTCTGAGCCATTCATACCTCTTCCCCTTACCTCCTTGTCACCAATTTTCCAATCGTGTTCATTCCACATTTCTGACATCCACCCAAATGACTGGCCACATAGCCCATGAAGCCATATATAATAATCATGTATTTGGCCATTTCTCCTTCAACATTAATTTTCCATGATTCCACTGTTCTTTTCACATGGGCCAAATAGATGAGTTAAATGGATGTGGTGGGAATCACCATCCTGCATCTTTCAAGTCCCACCAGGGGCACTAATCTCTGCAGTTCCTCCAGGAATTCGACACTGCTTTTAGTAATATCCCAAGGTAGAGGCCATTCTGATGTCTTCCACTTGGCTCTTCCCACCATAACACCTGTTATCCCATATGTCAGGAATCCAATGAAGGATTTCTGCTAGTTGTTGCATATTGGAATGCAAGCCTTCTGCTAGTTCCTACATACTGCGATTGGAATGTCTATCCCGATGATGTATTCTGGAACTAGGTAAATGACTTTAGCATACATTTGGTGATCCATCTTACCATAAGCTCTCATTAATAACCTGTACTCCATAGCCTCTTACTCTGACTGATGGACCATCATGACATTTGGAGTCTCCTGGAATGAGTGTCAATTCATAACCAGTTGTCGAATGATCCTCAAGTAGTTGGATTATCTTTCCCCCCGGAAATAGTCACACTCATAAATGGTTGTAGCTTCCTTTGGGGAAAGCAGGAGAAAAGATTAAGAGTATACCTTTCTGTCAATGAGGTGAGGCTCTGCCTGAAAGGGCTTCGCCCTTCCTTTCATTTAAGGGGTTGGGGCCTATAAACTATCTCCTATCTTCGAATTGAGTGGTCAGCCATGACTCACTGCTTTGGTTATTCCAATTAGGCTGCCATTCACCTGACTTAGAATTCCTCCACTTGTACAAAACTAGTACATATTCAGAGATTTACCATCTATTTCACTCCTTGGGTCACAATTTGTACGTTACTTTTTGAAGTTCACTGGGATTTAATTCTAGTTATAAATCTAGAAGCAAAAATAGGTGGTAGAGATGGTTCTGGGAATGTACAGTACTATTTTTCAAGGTATCTGCTTCAGGCAGCACCTCAACAGTATCCCAAGCTCTACCACACGTGAAATCTCGGACAGAATCACGTTAAGGGTCACGGCTGGGTTAACTTCATTAGATAAGCACGGGAGAGCTGATTCTATCAGCAGGACTTGAATGGAATTTAGAGGTCAAGGGCTCCAGCTTCCTGATCTAGCTGCCAAGATACCCTAATTCCATGATTCAGGATCCCATTTCTTTACAATCAAGTCCCTCACCTCAGACACCATTCCCCCTTCACTTCAGACACCATTTCACCTTCAGACAACATCTAAGGTTGAGATTCAAGTTAGCATTGTAACTCAACCACTTTTAAAGTACGATTTTGGATTTGTTTTTAGCAAAATCAGATTTGTTAATAGAAGACGTAAGACTTTCCTTCTTTCAATGCACAACTGAAAACTTCAAAGGCTTTCAGGTTCCACTTGGGTTGTGACTAAGAAACGGTAAGTTCATCTGTTCCCTTCATCACTTTATCTTTTGTAAGTATGACCAATAGCTTCCTTGAACTCCTCATTTGACCAAGCTGTAGAAAAGTATCAAATAGAGCCCTACTTCTAACATTTTATTACTGGTGTTAATGTTTGGAGTGTTAATATTGCCACCTCGTGCCAAACATTACCAATGGAGGCACAGCCAACTGCACTGATAAGACTAGGCAGATTTGAGAATATATATAGAAAAATCCAGCTTTTTAATTTTGCTTCCCTGCGACCAAATGTTTTAGACTGGGTCATTTAGAGAAGCAAACACAAGGAATATGGTAAACTGTATTTCAGGGTACATGTAAATATCCATATAAAAATGTATGTGTATATACACACACATATACACAGTAAGAGATATATGTTTGTTTATTTAAAAAAAAACTACTTACGCGTTTGAAGAGGCTGATCAGTTTTAGAGACTAACCAAACTGAGCGGGTAAAGGCACGAGCCAAAAAGCTGCTAAAACAGACACCAAGGGGGAATAAGGCAAGCGAACTTTGCAAGAATCCCATATATATTTGATGTTGTTGATTGCCTTCAAGTTGAGCACGACTCATAGTGACCCTCTGAA